ACCAAACAAACTAGGATTAGTATGAGGAGAATATATGTTATTGCAATTTATTTATTACATAATTATTATTTATTATGTTATTCTAAACCTTGGATCTCGACACAGATCTATTGTTCTTATATTTATATACACAATCACTGACAGGTTAACGATTTTTTTAACCTCTACCGCTTATTAACTAATTACTTTATTAAATAATAATAAACTTGTCGGACTTGACACTTGACCGTTTGCCCAGATCATTAATTATTACATTGAAGAAATATCTGTTAATCCTACAAGTTATTTCATATGTTTTATCAAAATTAAACTCGACTTTTTAAGCATATAACAAAGATCTAAAAAGGTCCAGCAAACTTTCGTATTTATATTATTAAATTAAACTAGTAGGATATACCGAAGCTTCAACCGGGGATAATTATTTATTTAAATGATTTTATTGGCTACCATAAAAGAAAATGTAGGACAAAAGGCGAACTTAATGCTAGTAGCAATCTCTGTCAGACAAACTTTCAGATGAACAAGTTTATTAAGGTACAAATAAACTTTTTATGGACTGTGTATATTTAATTTGGAGTTTTTAGACCCAATTGTATATGTGGCAAATGTTTTTGAAGCTGAGTTTATGAATGCGGATATGTCTCTCCATTTAATTATATAAGAAGTAATAAACGATATAAGTATTTTAACTTACGGTTATTTTTAGTAATGAATAATTAGAAATATTGACAGAGTTTACGTAAAGCATTAGTCAGAACTTATAATTGTAAAATCGCCAGAAAAATGTATGTGGACGAAAATCAAACTTGCCCGCGAAGATTTTCGAGTCGTCATAATAACCACGGTTCCACTACGCCCTCTATACGATTAATTTGTCAATTAAAACAACTGTCCCAATTCAGAAAAACGTAACCAATTATCAACTGTCATTTTTCCATTATATTGTCACCCACGTGGCGTGTCGTTGAAATATTAATTTGTTCGCCCCGTTCCGCGAGATAATAGACCTCGCCCACCCATGACCTCGCTGTGCGACTGCCAAACTCTGTTTCTATATGCAAGTTTGCCTAAAGAATTAGACGAAAGGGAATTTTTATAATTACGAGTAAATATAAAATACTAATACTCCGGCATAGAATGAGCCACCCCATCATTTCTCGTGAGTGTCGCAAGAGGCGACTAAGAGAACTTAATGGCTGAGATATAGTCAGCAGCGGCCCTCTTAAAATATCACCGAAGCTCAACTGCGGTTGCCAATTCGTCTGCCCAGTGCAGTAACTACCGGCAAACTTCCTAACCCCTTATGGGTGAAGCCTGTGTTTAGCAGTGGACAGTTAACGACTGATATGATGATAATGATGATGACGAATTATAATAATAAAGAAAAAAGGTTTTATGCATATATTTTGTAACGACATTCAGACTCTGCGTGACAGTAAATTAAATAATGCAGGTTGCTTAGGATCTTTGTTATGGCAGTCTTTGGAAAAGACCTGTGTAGAGCAGTAGAAATGGTGATAATGCATATTCTAAGAACAAAATCTGTCATTTACTACTCATCGTGAAAAAAACAAGTGATCCAAAAACGACTTTTTTGTTTTTTGTAGTGATGAAACTAAATGAAAATTGTTAATGATCATTTTGCTCTTTAATTTACCTCTATTTTTTTTTATTTTTTATTTTACTTTAAAAGGGAAACATACAATACCTGAGACATATAAAATAGTATACACAACCATAACATAAATCAGTGAAGTTTCCACAATAAACTAAACCAAATAATCGAGAGCAGATGATTAACACTCTATACTCTATACTCGAACGTAGTCTGGTAGCCGTTGGTAGTTCAAAACCAGTTTTTAATTTTTTAGCATATTGGTTTGATTGTAGAAGCTTTATACTATAATACTACTCGATTTAGTTGATCTATCTCTGACTGAATATCCAGACAAAATGACCTGTATCTCTTCTTAAGGTTTTTTGGGTAATGTGTGAAGAAAACCATTTTTAAATAATCCAGTATTGTAATGTGTAGAGCCTGACGTTTTGTCATAACAACGGCTGCATAGCTAATGGGCCCCGGTGCACTCTAAACACACACCCACCCCCGCATTATTTCGCAATAATCATCAATTACATCGGTAATTGCTTGTCGAGCACCCAGCGTCGTATTTCCCAATAGCGTCGATCTTCGTCGTAGGCGGTGGTGACCTCTTGGCACGTGTGGGTGCGCTTTCTACCGCCATCTCTTCATCACAATGGTCTATGGATGATGTACGCATATTAACACCCGCACAATAACGTCATATTGGTTATTTGTAAATAGATTTTACCATAAAATATAAAATGACACCGTTTATTCTTGGAATAAAAATTAATTCCATAATCAATATAAATGAATTGAAATACGAATAGAAATAATGAAAATTGTGTCTCTGATAGAACTATTGGTCTGTTATGTTTCTTGCTTATTGTTATCGTTTATAGACCAGAAGGAGTTTTTGTACAAAAGTCGATTGCTTGGGTACCTCTGTCCTATTCGAGTTTCTACCGTGAAGCAGTTGTGTTTGCATGGCTGTGTTTCGGTTTGAAGGGTGGGATATGGCGTGAATTTACTGGGTACAGAAAAATAACACCCGAGTCCTCAGGAATTGCAACACATGGGGGGTATCGTGGGCGAAACAGTATACTCTTCTATGTCCATGATACTGGTGATGTCTATAGGCGACGGTTACCACTTTCCATCAGGTGGGCCGTCAGCTTGTTTGCCATTTTAAGTTGTATAAAAAAAAACAAAAATCTCAGGATTTTTAATTATATGCCATTTATTTTACAATAAAAAAGTTAAATATTTGCTTGAAACTAAAACCTACGCAGCCATGGTTCATCTCGCTACTTGTGTAAGATGGACTGATTAAACTTTTGTTAAAAAAATATCGTATTACTATTTATTCATTGAAGCAGTCAAGTATGCATGTGATATTATTTTACATATAAAAAGCTTAGCAGAGACAAACAAACAACTCGAGTTTTTTTTTTTTACAACGATTGAATTACCAAATTGAGGTTAAAAATTGTATGGTATATTTTGTATAGTGTCTTTCGAATAACGTCTTCCATAATCTAAAACAGACTGATGCAGTGTTACCACGTCGTTCCTGAAGTAAAAGTACTTCTTGATAGAAGGGAGAAGTAGTAGTTAATTTTGATTTTATACTGTAAAATTGTGTGAGTTCATTTCTTTGTAATTAGACTGTCATCTCATATCAGCTGTTACATGCTTACTGTGGAACATAGGTTTCCCCCATAGACTGTCATAAGGAACGGGGCTGTTCTTTATGGTAGTTTATAGTTGGGAGGGATTTGCTAGTAGTTGCCACGTTTGGCATGTGAGTTGGCAACCGCAATTGGGTTTTTGATGATGTTTATAAGAAGACGCTACATCAAATCCCTGGACCATTAAGATCTCATAGTCGTCTCTTGCGACATCCACGGGAAAGGTAGGGAAAGCACATTCTATGCCGGGACCACAGGGTAATTAAACGTCATTAAACTCTAATAGTTTTAAATTCAACACCAGGTTAAAAAGAATATCTATTTCCAAAATTTATTTATTTTCTCAACTATATTGCGTAGTATTATAATGATTGTAATAAAAACAAGGCATTAAATAACCGCTTCACTATTTGTGTCGTGGCCTTTCGTTTCAATTTAAACTTTTATATTCAAGTTTTATTCTCTCGGAGATTTCACTAGTTCAAATCGAGATTCCTCTATGTTCGGTCATTATGTGGAATTATAATAGTAATGGGTGTCGTATGTCAGTCGTAGGTTCGACTTTAATGTACAGCCCAGCAGTTAATGTCACGGAAGTCGCCTACGCGCCGAGATTGAAAAGTTCAAACTGTGATCACTATGCTTTGTTGTGATTGCTCTGTCTAATTCTTATTTTATTGTGAATGCCATTTTTAGATAAGAAAGTATTCGGTGATGTCAATTTAACTGAACTTGCGATTAATTATATATTCACCACATTAAGCTCTAATAACCTTCTTATTCTTTTTTTATGGCAACGCTTTACCGGGTCATCGTGATTTCTTGTTTTAAATACTTAACAATGTTAAAGGCAACGTTGGCGGTCGTGGTTCTAGAAATATGTTAATTAAAGAAACATTTTTTATTCTTTTTCCTTTATTCTTTTTACAACAGTCTATTTATGATCACTGGACCTTTAACAATTATTAATCAGTATTAATTTATCTTTTTTAAAATGTTTAAGCACATTTAATTACCGTTTTTACCTCAACAAATCAATGGCTTTCTAGCATGTCGTTCCTTTTACGGTCATCGTGGAAAATCTTCTACATTATAACTTGATAAGTATCATATTAATATTAATATTTACGATATTACATCAGTGCCGTTATATCTATAGCATGCCCACGTATTTATACGCTTCGTCGGTCAAAAGTTCGCTGTTTTATTACACCCACGCGAATTCTGGACTTACTCCATTCAAATATTATACACCGATTTCGGATCTTCACCGCCCGTGACACTGTCACCGGCCATTTATAATGGCTGTTGGTGTCAAATCATGTGTCTGTTGGCATAAATTATATGAAACTAACAGCAGATTGGAATTCAACGGCGCGTGCTTCTAAAATAGGTATTATATGAATTTATTTAAAGAGTTAATTCACTTTATGTTTGATGACCTCCGTGGCGCAGTGGGTGGGCACGTTGCTTTAAGTAAATTAGGTCCTAAGTTAAATTTTAGGTCGTACCAATTTAGGAAAAAATCTTTTCTGAACTGATTTGGTTCTGGGTTCTGCTTTCAGATATGCGTTGCCTGGTTTCTTACAATACTGGCTATCATAGCTCGAGGACTAGACGAATGGTACTTATTGATTTTATTATATATTTACTATAGTTTTATAAATCAAATCTTTGACTTGATTATTATTTTCATCACAAAATTAAATAATATTGATCCTCAATACAGTTGCCACAATTAAATCTTTTAATGTATTCAGTATGAATTATGTACAATAAAGTTTTTTACTACTACTACTACAGTTCCCATAACGTTTTCTAGTTTAAATCACTGAAACAAATTTAGAAAAAAATCCCAAAGTCGCATATAACACTTACTTGAAATTATGCTAGTACGTTTATATTTTATATACGATACAGCCATATTTTGATATAATTATAATGTAAAATAATTGCCTTTTAAATCCATAAACAGTGCTATTAAAAATTAAACGTTTTATTTGCCTCAATGTAGCTTCAATACAGTTTATAACTCATATCCAGTTTCAATCGTCTATGTTTCATTAATTTATATTCATCGATTACTTCTACATGCAGCTCATTGGCTTTATCTGCCACGCTGAAAAAATAATACGCAAATAGTTGTGTCATCCGCACAGAGTCGACGGCCAATAATTCAAACCGCCATAGGGCTTCCACTCCAACCTATGTGTCCACTTTCACGCAACGATGCGAACGTGGGCGTCACCTGTCGTCTCGTGCTATACCATCCATCTTGCAAATAACTACAATAAAACCAACGAAATACAACTTTATTACAACAACATAAGATCTTCAAACAAAACACTGACAACATTCATCGCCCACAAACACTCATTGGTCCTGAAATCTAGCTAGACTAGCTCATTAAATTAACATTTATTCTATTCAAATGTGTTTCGTAACAAAACTTTCTTATAATAATATTGATCGTTGTAAAGTTTTTTTTTTTTTTATAATTGAAATCAATCATTATAACTGTAGACTCTCTCGCTTGTATTTCCCCTCAGGGGGTAGATGCGGGAATTTCTTAATATCAAAGGTCGTATCAAATCTTATTAGCCAAGTATTTAACACGATCGCTTTAATCGTTAATCTAACAGTATTCATCTAATAGATGATTTATAGAAGCTTACAATTTCCCATAATGATACTGGTTCGCCTACATGTATTCGATCTTGTCCCGCCATTGAGACACGATTGTTTCGTGTCAATCAATATTACTGGCATTGAAAATGACAACAATCGACTTGCAGACAATAATTGTATTACTAGCTATAGAAACGTAACGAAACAACACTAAGCCAATACGGATTAGTGTCATATTAGTTCTTTCTGCAACTTTTAGTAGGCGTACGACCTACACGAGGACCGAAGGACTCTCAGCTAGTGCTAATAATACAGTCATCAAAAAGTGCAGTATTTGAAATCATTAATAACAGTAAATATTGTTCTCTTACAAAGAGTATACTTGTACATATGCAGATAGTAAGGACGTCGAAGTAGACAAAATAACAGTACGTACCTTATAAGTATCGGGATCTATTATTTATTTCTGTTTCTTTTCTAATATTTAAGGATTATTTATATGCACTTTGATGGTATATTATTATTAGATATCAGCTTATCTGCTTTTGCGTTGTCGACAGTAAATTAATTATATCTGACCTGTTTATTTTCTTTTTAGTCACCAATCCTGATATCGTCGTCTCTGTAATCCTTATCAGTTACTATCAGTAATCGTAGTGGTAGGATTTGTAGTATCAGAATCGATAATTTACGCCCTAGATATACACTATCAGTGATAAGCACGGTCTACTGCGTAGTAAATTTCTACCAATGAAAGATGACCTAACTTGGTTTTGCGGTGTATAACTATTGTGATTGTTATGGTAGTTGGATGAACAGCAGAGCACGTGACACTCTCATGACTAACTCTGTTATCTCCTCCTTCTCTAGAGACAATCGACACACGATAATATACTCTCGACGACACCTCGTCACCACGCCCCGCAATTAAGATAATCACGTCGCGATTATGATATTATAAACTACGCAGTGATTTTGTTGGAAAGTTTTATAACTGTAGCTACGTTTAGCAGACCAGAGGACCTGAACTAGTCAATGACGTGAAACATTAGTGCTCGTTATCATCTTCTGTACACATTAACAATTAATAGTGTAATCTATCGCATTCCAGCAAACGGGACTCATTCATTACAGATAGTGAGGCAGTACGGGCGCGCCAATCTTTGTTTTGATGCGTTCAAAATAGAACACGATCCAGTATCACATTTTGTTATACCAATATGATTGAACCGATGCCCTCTGTTGCACAATGTAGAGAAAAACAGATGTCTAGCCAATATGCGCTTAGACGTACGCAATGGAACTACAGCTAACACGACGGCATTATAATGAAAGGTACGTCCAGTTCACAATGACCGAATTTGACCTTCAGAGATAAGATTGCAGGGCGATTTTCGATAGTGACATATTATGATGTGGCTTTAAATTGAAGACTTTATTTTTATGTTTACCTAAATGTATATTGCGTTTTAATTTTATAACAGCTGTTTTTAGATTAGTTCATTATAAAGGAAATAGTATTAAACAAATTAATAAATCATCTGTAAAGTTAATGTAGCTATGCTACATAGAAGTGATCTGTGTGAAGTCAATAATTTCTAGGAAAAAAAAAAAAGTTGTATTGTCTGTTTTCTCTTGTTTATAGCGGGACAATATGCATGCAGTTAACGGGCATTCATCAATCACCCGTACGCAGAAAACTTACCATTACGTACAATCAGAGTGCACTCATGAATATGGAGAGGAGATCGATCGAGATGTTAATTTAGTAACCAGACCACTCCCTTGATGTAAATTACGAGCAGAATGTATTTCGTCGTGCAAGTGGCCGCGCCAGACGTTGTCCTGTCAGTTTAATGTTAATATGGGTAAATTGTGCGCATAAATCTTGCAAAGGTTGATCATCAATAATCATTATAATTTACTGTTACTCGATAGCACGCACGGTGCGTACTTAGCGTTTCACGTGATTTGACTTGTTTTTAATTTTGATTCTGATCATTGGTTAGCATTCGATTTTGCAAATTAAAATTTTCAAGCTTTTTATTTAATTACCTTAAATTATCGATATCAATAATAAAGTCATCAATGACGATGAAAACAAAATGCTTTGCTAATTGAATCTTACCGCAATTTATTGCAGTATCACGAGAGAGCACTCAATCGCAGCGAGTGCATTTAATGTGATGAATTAATTTAATTACAATAATTTAGTCATTCGTTGCGAGTGTACTGATTGTATACTGTGTCTCCGCACCAATAGATATAGTTGGTATTGATTATTAGTGATTATTATGGTTACGTGACTGAAATGTAAAAATGACTTAAATGCATACCTTCAGGAAAATTTTAAAACAATACGTTTACTTATATTATGACTTATCCACTTATGTAGTCATCATTCATACAGCGTGTGAGTCATCGGTATTTGAAACTTTGGCTATTGTTTCCTGGTAAATTTGCAACTAATCTCATCTGAAAACAGACTTGTATTTCTAATGAGTCTTCATGCTTTGTATTATTTTTTAAACACGGTTGTGACGTGAATTTTAAGTTTTGGTCAATTATAATGAAAACAATTACACTACATTATTTTTTAACTTTATTTTTTATTTTATGAGCAATGAATTTTTAGTTTCATGAATAGGGGTCAGAAAGGAACGATGTAATAGTGAGGTTTCATTTAATTTGATAAATAATTTCAATAAATATGTTTTTAAATCTTAAATATTATTTATATTCGTAATTCGGATCTAGAAGATATTGATTAGGGATATAACATAGAAGAGCGACGTATAGAGTTGCTTACTGAAATAGTGTATGTCTGTACTTGCTAGATTGCATCTTACCGTTTACGTATCAATAGATATTCAACGGTTCTCGCAATCAGCTAACACAACAATGTTATCGGTAAATATTGATACATGGTGTTTATCTGAATTCATTGAACCCGTTTATGGCGTGTTTATTCCTAATGACCTTAGTCCAACCACTAATGTATCTTCAAAGCCTACTACACCTGCTTTTGTAAAAATTATAAAATTATTGTTAATTTACATCCTAATATAATAACGATTTTATTGTCTCATTTTATTTGTGAAATTATTTATTTTAATTATTTCTTCCATAAAACAAAAGTTCTCTCCATTCTTCTGATCATTTCATTCATCTTGTTGATTTCGTGATCATACTAATAACTAATACATAACCAGTTCCAATTTTACAATGCAACTTAGATCGACGAACAAGCTGACGGTGCTCATCTGATGGAAAGTGGTAACCGTCGCCTATAGACATGAACAATGCCATGGACATAACAGAGTATACCGTTTCGCCCATGATACTCTTATGCGTTCCTATGTATCCTGTAATTTCAATACCATATCCCAATTTTTATATTTAATGCGTATAATAACAGAATATTGAGGTATCCTTCAGTTATTTTCTACTCTTTACATTTGTAAAATGTCAATAAAATTTATATGGTTTTAATAGTATATTTTCAAAAATTGATATTGTATCATTTTGATAAACACTTAGCCTTAGAATATATGTATATTCGCTAACCAATGTAATCAGTCGAGTTATGCGTTAGTGTAAATATTGTCACAGTCTCTCTTATCATGTTATAGGGCATCGCCCACAGGTGAAATATATAATCAAATATTTAAAAAAATTATATCATCACAATAACCAACAAAACGATCACAATTTAAACGTCTGGGGACCTGTCCATGATTAAGGGTGTGTAAAAACTATTACGTAACCTGCGTTTAACCTGATACTCCATAATCCCCCTGCTCACAAAAAAATATGACAGGATCCTGTTCCATAAAGAGCTGGGAGATGCGCGCGGGCGCAGGGGGACGCGGCACCTCCGAGGCGCGCCACGCTGCCGCCGAATAAATTATGTTCTTTGGCCCCTATCGCCTTCCCCGCGCACCCCGCTCTTACCCTTCGAGACCTTATCGATCGAATTGGATAATCCTAGAGGTCGCTCACTAGATCGCCGCGCCGGCGTCTGCGCTCGCGCCCGTGTATATTACACAATGATGACCTTTAGCCCTGCAAAGCATGACCAAAATGGAATTGTGATCACGCTTTTTTCTTTACTTTTGTGTTGGCGTGTAAAATACATGAATAAATAACTATGTCTACTTGTGAGGTGTTGCTCTCTTATTTTAAATTTAGATTTGTAATTACCACATAATATAAATCATTTAAGTATTTATTGTTCTTCATTATCCCTATCATGTAATTCGATTCGATCGACTATCGAATCTATAACAAGATTCAGTTGGATGTGTTCTACATCATATTCATCTTGATCAATTGCCCTTTTACTCGGTATCTATACAGCGAATCGATTTGCAACCACGCCTGCAGCGGGCACTCGTGCCTCATGTCGGTCTGTATGTACTCGTGTTTATTCATCTATATCGGAAACAACTTCGCCGTTTGTCGAATTCAAATGAAGACGTGTGTCGTGCGACGACGCGACCCACTATTGTCTACGTTCTATTACTAAATCATTCTGTACTTATATTGACTAAAATAATTTATCCATACATTGTATATTTTTAAAAGTTATAAGAATAGAGAATTTGAATTTTTCATAATTTTTAATGGTCCTCTGATGAGGAAATAAAAAAAAGGAGTTATATTGAAAAATTTAACTGCTTATACCATAGTACATAAATTGTTACTGTGCACATTTCAATGTATTACAGATTTTATCACAACACTTCGCTGATGAGCCTATGATTGTCTGTTTAAAATACCATTGAGGGTGCTTCCCACGGGAAAGTGTCTGTACACAAACTGATATTTATTATCGTGATAGTTGTCGCTCGACGCGGAATTAAACTCAATCATGTCCTCTAACTCAAATCATGACCAATATAAGTTCGTAAAATCGATTATTTGCAAATTGGTGTACCATATGAGCCTCTGGAACAATAGCTACTGTGTAATTGGAATTTATGACTCTAATTTACATTCTATTTGCCAATAGTCACATGCGTATTCGATTTTGTATCGGCCGAGTACATTACGATTGCAGGCATCCTTGAGTTGCATTAATGTAGCCACAGAATCGGCATCACCGTTATTCATTGCGGCAATTGGACGTGGTACAGATCGGGTAGTGACGCGGTGCGCACGTGAGCCACATATGGACGGACGCAGCGAGATCGGCCATAATTTGCAACAAGATAGGGCCGGGCCATGACCAAAACAGTCAAACGCGACCCGACCACCGTGCCGACCTGCCCTTATCCGGCATATCGCTAAACTATAAGGAAATAGGAAAGGATGAGAAATCACGAGTGGTAGTTATCCTGTGGATTAAATAATTTGTGCTTCCACTAAAAGAGCAACTTGTTGAACAAAATAAGAACGACCGAGGCACCCTTAAAGAGAAAACAATAAAGTACAGTTATGAGATAGTCGTAAAACAGTCACATAATGTCGCGCGATTAGTTGAGCATCGTCACATTTTATTGCTTGCATTGTTGTAATAACACGTGGAAGTTAGGATATAAAGATGACTGTAGACTGTAAAAAGCTTCAGCTTCCGACAGATGTTAAATTGAAGAAGTGCATGCTATCAATTTTTTGTCGTTAGCTAAACTTAGATGCTTAATAATTATTCCTTGACGCGTTCTAAATTTACATAATTGTTTTATAATAATTGATCCTGCCGTTTTAGATTATCTATTAAAAGAAGTTGTTGAAAGTTTACAAATGGTTAAACATTTAGTGCAACTGATGCAACTAAATAATTTCACTAGTGTAAACATAGGTTGATAAAGACTTCAAAACGGTTCGTTGCTCTTTGTAGTTAATAACATTTTTGCTGTCATTGTGTTATTTGGCTCGGCGACTTTTGTTTATGTATTACAAGTAGATCGTGTAAACATTTAGCGATATCGGCACGTCAATGAATCGCATTCGTGCGACTCGGATCAGTGGATGCGCGGCGCGTTCGTTGCTCGTCGCGTTATCTGCACCGCGGAGCCATGTGGAGGCTGTGCAGCATGCCCAGCATTGCATAGTGCACGGCGTGGCGGGGCGAAGGCGGGGGCGGACCGTACAGCACAGGGGGACGCCGCTCTCGCTCCGCCCGTCATTCGCGCCTTTGGCGTCGTGACAACCGGACTTGTTGCGCTCGGAGCTTCTCGTGTCGTGTGCACGCCAACCGTAACGTCTCCCGTGAGACGGCGTGCGTTGTGACTGTCCACAATAATCTCGGTGGTGTAAAAATAAAGCCGTCGACAGACGGCGGCGTCCCAAGTTATATTTAAATGATAGCACGGACAAGGAGCTGGGCTCGCTTCGAACGCTCACCGACAACATGAGATTGACCAGTATGTGTGACACCTTCGTCAAAAATCTAAACTAGTTCATAAAATCTAAACATCGCACCTGCAGCCATGAGTATTGTATGTCTAGCGGGCGTTCACGAGTGTTCAAGGATATCCAGTGTTCATGGTCCTTCGGGAACTGTGTGGTTTATGTCAATGTTAAAGTTAAACGACGTCTTCACAACGAGTAGCACCTATATGGATTGTGGTCTTTCCATGTTTGAGTTTCCGTTTTGAGGTGATAAATATAGTGGAAGAGTGTGCCCTCTGAATTATTCATCAATTTTTATCGTTAGCTTTCATGTTTACGTTTGTCTTGATAACTAAAAGCTTGTTCATGTGTTCCACTGTCAAGTAGTTTCATTTTTGTAAGCACTGAAAAATTATTGTTGTGATTTCAATCTTTAATTAATATTTCCTTTTTGTAAATATTGCCATCACGTCGTAATAACGTTTATCGCATTGTAACGTTATCAATTATTTCTATTTAAGTGATTATTAAGCTAAATGATTAAATATCAGTTCGCAATTCGCATTCGATTGCTTTATCTTTGTTACCTATTTCCAATGTATAAACACAAAAGTATTGTCTTTTCCTTAAAACTTATCTAGCACATTATCATGTAATATCTAGCATATTTCTTAATTTGTATCATTTTTCCCTGAGATGATATTTGTTTACTCTATAAGAAAGAAGATTAGTACTATTTCCAAGAACTCCAAACATGTAAATGCGAAAGTTTGAAACGATAGACGGTTGTTTATTATATTATTTTGCGAAACTACTGAACGGATTTGAATGAAATTTGCTACATGGGTAGATTATATCCTAGCTTAGCATATAGGACACTATATACTAATTTACATGAGTGAAGCTGCGAAATACAGTTAGTAGATACTGATTTGTTACTATTATTTGTATTGGGACCTAATATTGATTGATTGTATAATTAAATAACTTTAACAATAGTGTTTACTTTCCCAACTGAGAAACTCTTATCATTCTTAAAGAAATTTTACATAAAATGTTTTCTTGTAAAATTCAATATAATTGCATCATCATCATTATTTTAGTCTTTCGTTGTCGACTATTTAAAATAATACATATACAATATTTATATAGTTAGTAGTGATTTATGTTATCTAGCTTGCATTCTTCGCAAATCTTCTCAAAGACTATTAAAATACATTATATAGGAATTATTTAGATACAATCTCTTTGCAGTTGCCAAAATACAAATTATCCATCTGCCATATAATAAGTATAATTGAGATGTTTTAATAGTTAGTCTATATCTATACGGTTTACAGTTTGATATTTTGTAATCACTACTTTATACAATTAAATTATTATTAATTGATTCGTTTTTAAGCTTATTAACGCAAAAAAATTTTCAAGCCATCTTCCGTCCATGTGTTGCTCTCTCCCAGTTACCTGCTAGCTATTGTTGTTTGACGTCCCTTTGTATTCTGTCGAGCAAATTCTTAATGCGCCCGATGGGCGTTCAGATATACCTGTTGCTGGCACCAAAAACCCTAAGAAATTTAAGACGCATAAATCCCTTTTTGCCACGCTATTGTCCGACCTTGTAGATATTATTTATTCCAATTTATTATCAGCGGAGTTATCGATTCTAATATCGAGTATAAACTCGTGTTCAATATCAAAAACATCCTTGTTCTATAGCACTTGCAACAGTAAATTGTCTATTTTAAATGGTTTTGTATATTCTATGTATTTCTTCAATATGCGCTCTCTTAAGTTAGTTTCCTAATAAAATATTAGAGATTTCTTAGAATTTTAAATATTAGAATTCTTAAATGTTATAATCTTTATTTATATACGCATTATGTAAATAGGTTGATACAGACTATAAAAGAAATTGGTAACTATGGTTGCGGCGTAATTAAAGAATACATTTTAATATAATAAAGATTTGGCCAGCGACATTCCATTAGCGTGTTCAACGAAATTATTTTTAACTGTGTTCAAAATAATTTATAATAATTTAAGTTTGGCTCTTGTGACTCCACTTTGATAATTTGCTTCTTAATATTTATTAATATATTTAATTATGTATATACTGGTTTCATTTCTTTGAACTTCAGTGTAAAGAATTAATGCTTTGGCTGTGGTTAAAGCACTGTGGAGATTCTTTTTGTCCTGATCGAGTCAGTGGTACGGAACATTGGTTCAGCTAAAAGATAGTAATGAACGTTCATTTTGTTATTGATTTTCATGTTTAAACTTCTTAGAAACAATAATGATTACATGAGTCATTACTACATCCTAAAACGTATGGAATCCTAAAATGTGCGTTACAATTTGTGCGCTTTTTGTAATTTATCAACGACTTTATTTAAATAAATTCTTTAGTTTTAAATTATATATTAAAGTAATTCAATTTCATCGAATCCTCACAGATGAGGTTTATTTCTTTCAGCATTATACGTCTATGTATGCTTGTTTAGAAGAAGTCTCTACCGTCCTCGCCTTTCTTTACTTTTAAAATTGCAACTATATGATGTTTGTACATGATGGATATTTAAGAGAAATTGTTATGTGTGTTTATTAATAAGAGCAATAGAAGCCGAATAAGAATTGTTTGTATTTTTGATATTTAGACGCGGTTTCTTATCTCTTATCTTGTATATGTAGATACGGTTTTTACGGTTGTGTTCCTGAAGGTCTAACTTAAAATCTAGTTTAATACGTTTTATCTTGATACATTATCTAGTAGTGCTGTATTTAATTGGTTTTCCTATTTCTGACATCCACGTGGATGACGTAGTACCGGGCATAAAGCTAGTATGCCATAATTTCAACCTTTCCCATCATTCGAGACGCAACATCGATCTCTCTAATATTTTCTCACAAGTTTGGGTTCTACCTAAGCCACCTGCGTTCAATGGTTCCCTGCAATTTTTTATACACTTGTCTCTCCGTCACTACTTTGGCTGTTATTCTGACGCTTCTAAAAAAGAATCTAAAATCAGTATTCATTAAAATGTATAACTTTCTTGGTTGACAATATTCCAAGGATTTTTGAATTATTCAAAATGAGGCTATTTTTTTGTTCTTTTATATAATCATGATTTTTTTTTCAAGTATATTAAAATCATTAATTTACTAGCTCTATGCTCGACTGATTTTTTCGCCAATAATTTCAAATAAACATATTAAGACCTGAATTTTCAAAAATTCAAAACACACTTCTGTGTTTTAGTAAATGTGATTTATAATTTCATGTTTCTATATTCATCACCAGTTTAGCCTAGTTTTGATTTTTGTTCATCAGTCGATATAATTCAACTAAGTTAATTAAGCACATACTTATTTGTTTATATATTATGATCTTCTATTTCATGTTGTGTTTCTGCCTACCCCCATGGGAGACAGGCGTGAGGTTATGTATGTATGTATATTGTGTTTACTAAGGATCAGTATCAAGAAAAAATATACAGTGCAATAGAATACTATTATTCATTACATATATAGAACTTTATGTACCTGCTCTTACCTCACACTGTGTACAAGTTGTAACAGATGAGTACATTGCAAATGTTTGCTCATTCCAGGTGTGGGTATGGGTATACGGTGCGAGTGCTCCGGCGCCAGCGCTTGCCCCGACGGCGCTGCCAACGGTACATGCGTCACCCAGCCGGGCGGCTTCTGCTTCGTGACCCTGGAGGAAGTGCTCGACGAGAATGGATATGTCGTACGGGACCGCACCTTAGGCTGCCTGCCGCCCGATGAGTCTGGATTCATGCAAGTGAGTTATCAGGAATGCCCGTTATTTTTTTTTTATAAAATATGAATAACTAGTTGTGATAAGACGATATGGCCGGAACGGGAGTGAATGCAGAAATGACTGCGAATAGGGAAGAATGGAAAAGAAAAATATATTACGCCGATCCCAAATAATAATTGGAATAAGGGTTGGAAGATTAGTGGGTCTGCGAGCTGCATTTAAGACGTTAGACTTCATTGTTTTCCATCAAGTGAGATATTGATTAATTGTGGGTCTGTTCAGTGGTAGAAAAGAAAAGACGATGATGACTAGCAAACCTTGCAAACGTTATTTTATTCCTTATTCTTACCTATCAAGTTTTATAATTTTTTTTTACAACTTAGAATGGCAAACAAGTTGACGGCCCACCTGATGGAATGTGGTAACCGTCGCCTATAGACATGAGCAGTACCATGGACATAACAGAGTATACTGTTTCGCCCATGATACCCCCCATGCGTTGCCATTCCTGAGAACTCAGGTGTTATTTCTCTGTACCCAGTAAATTCACGCCATATCCCACCATTCAAATCGAAATACAGCCATGCAAACACAACTGCTTCACGGTAGAAACACGAATGGGACAAAGGTATTCAAGCAATCGAAATGCGGGAGTCAAAACTATCCCGCATCTTAAGTCGGAGCCAACAATAATATCGACATTTACGTACAAATTTCATTAAAATTGGTTAAACGGTTTCGAAAATTTGTGTGAATGATCACGGGATTTTTGTATATTAGACTAGTGCCTACCTGCGTCTCGTTCGTGCAACCGAGATAAAAATCTATGTCCTTCTCTATCGCAAATACTCTAACACGTGTATACTTTTTGCGGCGCTCGGTTGAGCCGATAAAGCGTCAAGCACGCTTACTTTTCAACCAACTTCAAAAAGAAAGAGGTTCTTGAAGAGGTTGTATTTTTTATGTTTGTTACCTCATAACTCCGTCAATTGTAAACTGAATTGTTATTTTTTTTTTATCTGAAACTGAAGGTATATTTACAGATTGGCCCCATAGAAATTTAAAATAACTAGTTTCACCATTATTGAATTCGGTTTATTTTATGGTATACAATATCATTATGTAATATTATTAATGATATATCAATATGATGATGACTCGTAGACCCTAATGGACTTGTTAGAGGCTTTTGTCGACTGCTGTCGTTGCAGTGAATCTAACACTCGACGTTCCCACATTTCACTGAGCATGTTAGAATCCAACGTAACAAAGGGTTAGCCTACCGCCGTCATTCGCTTTAATCAAGTTTGTTGATGTTGTTTTCTATCCCTAAAGAGTGAGTAATCGAAGTTAATACACAAATTTTGGTGTTGTCCAAAAATCACAATCTGTAAGTCCAGCCACTTGATCACGACGTTTTCTAGGATGAATGAAGTCGTCAGTCGTATTTAAAACCAACTGCTACTACACCTAATTTTCCTCTTTTAAGCATTACAATGTATTGTCCCTTCCTTTCAAACTTCAAATTTAGAATTTTGCATAAAAGGAAAAAAAAAAACAATAGCCAAAATTGGTTTATGAAGCGTTTGGCGTCTTTATGAATAAGGCCAAAAGCATCTACCCATGCTATACAAATAATGAATGAATGGTTAACTTTCTCTTTACAAAAGATAGTACAAAGTAACAATTTGAGGTACAATTAAATATAAATATATGTAATACTAATTTTGTGAGAGACTAGTGCCCGCGGTAGGTTTTGAAGAATCTGTATTACAAGTCGCCAGTGCTCCATCTCCATGGAACTACACAATACAAGGCAACCAAATGAGTGTTATAATACACAGATAACAAAAAAGAGATCTAAATCGCGTATGTGTATGAGGAGGGGGGGGGGGAGAGGGTTGAGAGAGAGAGAGCGTAGGGATTAAGTAGGAGAGTGAGTGTATGTGTGTGTGTATTATATATGGGTGTTTATGTGACAACTGTTGTGTAGAGTCACAATGAGTGGGCAATATGTATGTTACGATATATATTTATATATACATAAGTGTAGAATTATTCAACTAAATATAGTAGAGATATATTCTGGATGGAGATTTCATAAAGCAAAAACTCAGAAATGGCAACTTTGTCTCCAAATTTTTTTGTCGTTTCCCCGAGCCATGTTTCTTTCGGGAAAATGTCCAATTTCATTAGTACAACACTTTTAAAGAATGCTAATTATTTCTTACTAACCACAGGGTGAATAGACGTATACTCATATTATATACACGCTCAATGATATTTTTATAATCAACTTATTCGATTTCGCGAAGTTGGCAAAATATCAAATAATAATATACTAGCCGTCGCCTTTGGCTTCGAGCACGTTTATACGTTACCTGCCGTTCTCGTAGGAATTGTTTGAAATACGAAATCCCTTTTTTAGTGCCCCCTTTATTGGGAAGTAGTGTGCATAATTTAGGCTGTGTATTGTCTCCGAGTCGGCCAAACAATGTTGTGTTTAAGTAGATTAATTTATTTATATCCATATTGATCTTACAAATGTGGAAGTAACAATTAATGAATAATAATAATTTGTACCTGTTGTTAAATCATTACAAAGTTTTTAGACGCCAGGTAAAATATTTTATAGACAGTAATATTGTTTATTTGACGATATTTTTATTATAAACATTTCTACAAGTCATAAAAATAACAAAAATATACAAAATTTTGTACACGGTGCGATGTAAATGGTCGTGAATTTTATATGACGTGATAGATGAGACGATCACACACGGGCATTAAAATAAAATTCTTTCAATAAATCAGAACTGTTCCAATTGGATATGATTTACTGCAGCGTCAGTTGTTATTTTTGTGTCTTATTGAAATTTCTTGGAAAGTAAGTTTAATTTTTTTATTTTATTTTTCAGTGCAAAAGCAGTCAAGTTCCACATCAGCACCCCAAAGCGATCAAATGCTGCGAGTCAGATTATTGCAACAGAGAGCTACACCCTCAGCTGCCGGAGGCTCCGCCTGACGTGACCGAAACGCCAACAGGCATACACCCCACGCTTCCCGGTAGTCCCGCTATTTTCGTCGCTGCTGCTCTATGCGTAGCACTCGTAGCCTTCGTGGCCGCTTTTCTACTGCTCTTCAGGCGACGAAGACGCGGCTGCAAACGACCTCCGTCCCCACCGGCACCCTCGCACCACGCAGAGATTTCGTCCGGCTCGGGCTCTGGACTACCCCTCCTCGTGCAGCGAACTGTGGCCAAACAAATACAAATGGTCGAATCTATCGGCAAAGGACGCTACGGTGAAGTTTGGCTGGCGAAATGGCGAGGCGAAAAGGTCGCCGTCAAAGTGTTCTTTACCACTGAGGAGGCGTCGTGGTTCCGAGAAACTGAAATATATCAGACGGTACTCATGCGCCACGAAAACATTCTCGGGTTTATAGCTGCAGATATCAAAGGTACCGGTTCTTGGACGCAGATGTTACTCATCACGGACTACCACGAGAACGGCTCGCTCCACGACTACCTGCAGACCGTCGTGCTGGACACGCATAGTTTAGTGTCGATGGCGTACTCGATAGTCAGCGGCCTGGCGCACCTCCATATGGACATCTTTGGGACTAAGGGCAAGCCGGCTATAGCGCATCGCGACATAAAGAGCAAGAATATCCTCGTGAAACGGAACGGACAGTGCGCCATAGCTGACTTCGGGCTCGCAGTGCGCTTCGTGGCGGAGGAAAACACAGTAGATATAGCGCCGAACACGCGCGTCGGTACGCGTCGCTACATGGCGCCCGAGGTGTTAGACGAAAAACTCGACGTCACCAATTTTGAAGCGTTCAAAACGGCCGATATGTATTCGCTTGGGCTCGTTCTGTGGGAGATGTGCCGGCGCTGTGCCAGCGGAGACAAGGGACAGTTCGTGGAAGCATACGCGCTTCCGTACCACGAGTACGTCCCGCCCGACCCATCTTTCGAGGACATGCATGCAGTGGTTGTGGCGAAGAACATCCGGCCACCGATCCCCTCGCGCTGGATGTCAAGCGAGCCGCTGGCAGCCCTGGTGACGGTCATGTCGGAGTGCTGGCACGCCAACCCCCCGGTGCGGCTTACGGCGCTGCGCGTTAAGAAGACTCTCGTGAAGTACGTCACCGAGACGCACGTCAAGTTAGTGTGACCGTTGTAAATATGTGGTTTGTGTACTGTTCCTGTAAATATGTACTGAGTACCTACTGTGTGTGTGTGTCGGACGGTGGACTTGCCGAGACGCGACTAGGCTAAGTTCAAAGTTAAGTTCCTCGATATATTTCTATTTATTTTTACGTGAAACAAATATACCCATAGTTGTAACGGCCATCGATTGTAAATTCAGACTGACCACCGTTTCGTTTAAATCTCAGTATTGTTAAGTTTGTTGAAGTCGGCGGCTCCGACCCGACCGATATGTAGATACCAGTGTACTGTACAGAAACTGTTGCCCCCCCAATAGTTTTTATTACAACATCCTTGTTTATTCAGCTTGAATCTCTCGGATATTTGTAATCATTCGGATTTGATTTGTTCTTTGGACTAATGTTTTTATTTTACGATTGTTATGTAGAACTAAAGGATTTTATAGTGAAAATTTATTGTCTTCCGTTTTGATAAGCAATTTCAAGTGTTCGTGTTGAGGCAGCTTATGAAGTACTCGGATTATGTTCTATTATGTATTATAATTGGCCAGTGCTGCGCGGTGTACATGGAAACATTAACGAGTTGCATTGTGATATTTTGACAATAAGATGCCTTAAAATACAAAGTGTTGTACAAAATATGATTTCAAAATTATACAGTCCCAGTTGATTATGAACTGGATATACTGTGCACAGGTAGAGACATTGCTGTAGTGGACCCGTTGTAGATCGTACTTAATGTCGAGCAGAAGACTTATTTGTGTGTGAGTATTAAAAATATGCGCAGTGTCTTAGGAGGATGCCTTCGCCACGTTTAGTATTAAAATAACACGATTCGTTGTCGTGATGCACTTGGTCTGGCGGTTATGGAGCAGGGCAGGATAGTTATGTGCCTTATTTCACAAATGTATCTTGATCTCGGTGCAAATTCTATAAAACAAATATGTGTTTTGAAATATTTAGGGTCGGTAGCGCGCACGTGAGGTCACTAGTGTTGCAGGCGACCATAGACCATAGAGTAACCGTTTACCATCAGACGGGCTATATGCAATGCCAGTTTTGTGGTATAAATAAATTAAAAAGAGTTTTAAAATGTGTAGATCACGTTTGCTTTCAGGAATTCTATCGCTGAAAAAAAAAAAACATTTTCTGACAGTTCAATATGACAAGATTTGTAATTTATAACACCAGTAGGATAATGTCTGGGTTAAAATTAATAATGATTGATTTGTGAACACGTAATCGGCCTAAATAGTTGAGAGATTCTGGTTCGAATCCTGTCGTATGGAATTGTGGGAACGTTGAATTTTATTTATTTATTCTTTATTGCACAATAAAACTTTGTACAAGTGGCGAGCTTAATGCCGTATGGCATTCTCTACCAGCTAATTTTCCAGTCTTATTATTTAAAACTAGTTCTCCGTCTCTCGCCCAGTGAAGAAATGATACTAAACTTGAAGATTATTGTATTGTCTTCTATCTGGCATTACTATTTTTATGTGAAGATGTGAGCCTTCTTCACTTTTCCGTACGTTTAGGTACAGCTGTTCTGAAGCACTTATATACGTTATCATTTTGATTTGTATTTATACAGATTCAGTAGATATTCTTGACCAAAATGGCTCTCTAAAATCACTTAAATGAATTGTTATTGTTGAATATTGCAAAAACAAGTGAGTTTTGCATTAAAACATTTTTTTTTTATTTTAAAAGGTTTATACGAGATAAAATACTTCATCATTATTGGTGATAAAATGTCAGTAATTAATTGTATCATTTGTAACGAACATGTTAATCCATTGGAATTTGCACCGGGAAGTAAATATATATATATACAAAAAATACACACAATTGTTTCCTTTTAAAAGGCTGGTGGTTGTATAATATTATGAACTGTTTAATTCTTGTGTGTGTTCAATGTGAGACCAAGTGGCGTAGCATTTATTGTGCGCAAGCGCGCCTGTACAGTGTTGTGTAAATATAGCGGTTAGCGACATTGAATAGGTATGTAATAAATGTTGATAGATAAGTTATGAATAAAATATAATGGACTTAGCTTTGTTGTTTTATTTATCTACTGTTATGTTAATCTTTAATTGGCGAATAGCTATTATTATTGATCCACTGAAACTGCGCAGAGATGTTGCATCTCTGTGCATCTTCTACCGAATTTATCATGGGGAGTGTTCTGAGGAATTGTTCGGATTGATACCTGCTGCTGAGTTTCACCACCGTACAACCCGCCACAAACTAAAGTTTCATCCCAATCATCTGGACGAGAGGCGGTCTTCCACCGTGCGTTTTTCAAGGCACTTTGTTCCACGCACAACCATTCTTTGGAATCAACTTCCAGCAGCAGTATTTCCGAACCGATACGACAACATAACCTTCAAGAAAAGAGTATATTCCTTTTTAAAAGGCCGGCAGCACACCTGCAATGCCGCTGGTGTTGTGGGTGATCATGGGCGGCGGTAGTCACTTACCATCAAGTGAGCCGCATGCTCGTCTGCCCCGTGTTGTAAAAAAAAAAATAATTAAGCAGAGGGTATTTAATAAAAGATAAATATGACGCAATTAATACCCGTAATTCTATATAATTTATTTAGTTTGGGGTAGATGCTTTTTTTAAGTGACATCAAATAGGAAGTTATTCTTAACGTTTACGCTCGAGATAAAAGTGTAATAGACTGATATTCTGAGATTTTCACCTTTTTTAGAGATTTAGAAGTTTTGATATGAACTTAATAAGCAGCAAGTGTTTAGTGACTTGTATATTTCGAGCATAAACAATTGTTAATTTGCTTGGTTTTTTTTCTGCATAACAATACAGACAGTAGGTATTTTTTTAATGGATGATAATGGAATAGCGTTGGTGGGTATCTTTAAGGGAAGAATTAATCACGATCCAGGGAATATCACTCCCAATTGTCCATTATGTAATCCAAAAGTTAGCCTATAGTGACGAATTTAACGATAAATTAGAGAAATTAGCTGGTTTTTCATCCTCGCCTATAATAACCCTCGGTTACCCCGCCAGCGTATAAAGTTAGCGCAGACGGGGTTACCATTCCATTATCATACATTACTACTACTTGTAATTGTCGGAAATTCTCGTTTAGGCAAACATCGTTGGATTACAAAATTTATTTTAATGTTCTTTTAAAATATGTTTAATTTTTATTACATAGTCTTAAAAATTAGTATAATTATTTACTCTTAATATAAATATATAAAATACACAAGAAATTCCATTTATTTTGTTTCTTTTTTTTATAGTATTGTCACTATTTTTTTAATTAGCAACACTATAAATATAATCACAAATAATCCGTTTTATGCAAAAAAATTTAAACTGATTAAGAAATTTTCCTGTTGCTTCACATAATTAAATATGGTTTATATACTATATATAAAACTAATATTAATTATATTACTGTTTTTTAAAGCAATAAACATTTTGTAGATAAAATTAACTTTATAGCTAACCTAATGTTTAGTTTATTAAACGGAAATAACGAAACGTGTATGATATTTGCTTACCATGGCGGCCGGTAGTGTGTTAAATAGAATGTGCCAATTTAAGGCATTAATATGGACTTAGCAAAATTCATTGAATATTAAAAAAATATACCATTTTTTAATACAATATTTATTAAAACCCTTAGCATAAATTAAACCAATTTTGCAAATGTGGAACATTTTATTTGTGTATAATATAATTATTACACATTTTTGTACATTTTAATCGAGATTCTAGCAAATTCGTCAATTTAAGTATATGGCTTATAATTTTTTGCATCTTTTTAATATACAAAAACAAATTTTACTTATTAAATAAATTAGATACGTCAAAATACATTGAGCATATAAGGGAACATTAACAAAAAAGTCAGCTAATTTGACAAAAATTTTACCCGTTTTTAAGGTTCGATTCTCTATATAATGTAAGAGAAAAATATATTATATATAACAAGGATTACTATAGATTACAGTCTTTTATCACATTATAGTCAATATTAATGTTTTTTAACCTACGAATAATAATTATTCGTAGATGTTAATTTTTCAATGTACTGGTAATTTTGATTACATTAAACCAGTATTATTGTCAGTACAGCTAGTGTTAATTTACAATGTGTAATTTAAATATTGTAAATTAACACTGGTTGTACATACTGATAATGCTCGAATATATATTAGTGTACAGAGGAACATTGTATACACATGTGTACTAATTATATACATATATTTAGTAGTTACGAAACATTTCGTTGGTAGAATTGCATTAGTTTAATAATTGATCACTCTATTCTCAATATATATAATGTACTCTGGGATTAAGACGGTTTCCACGGGGAACCGCGTGGAGGTCGACCTGATAGGGTATACTTGTTTTACTAGCAATAGTAGCCAAATTACAAACAATTTTTCCGGGGTGAAGGGGATCCCTGGAATATAGGTGTTGTTTTAGAATTGGTGCTGTTCATGTCTACAGGAGACGGTTACTTTTTTACATAAAAACGTTTAGAATTCGCAGCTGTAAGAAAATTTAGATGTGTGTGGAGTGCCAAATATTAGAACTATGTGTGGGATGAAATAAAATTTCCTAATTTTAGGCGGTAATCAGGAAGATTTATTTCGACATCTTATTTATTCAGAAAATTCAGAAACTAATAAAATTATAACAATACAATAAGAACGCTACTCAAGACCTCTACAAAATTTGAGAAGTGATTCTAAGAAAAACCTGTATTGTACTTGTTCAAGTTAGGTATAAATAAAAGCCGGTTGTTGTACTTAAAATGAGATTTATTCACTTATTTACATTCATCACAAATACTTCGACACACTCGCTCTATTACTATAGAAATTATACCATTTCAGTCATCCTAGTCCGTTCTCTTCAGTAGTCTTATAAAATTGAAATTTTGTGGACAGTCAACTACATTTTAGCATTGGCGAATTTAAAATTATTTCCCAGAGGGACCTGGCTTTATAAAACAGGTATATATGCACTCTCCAATCTGTCTCTCTTCTGAGGTGGGGACGGCCCACCCAGTCCCCGTTTTAAAACGCCTAATGCATATTAGGTACAATATAAAATAACCAACAAATGATTGACCATATTCTCAAGATGAGCGTTAGATAACAACTAAAAGTAGAATTAAGTTTAATAAGGCGCGTATCTTCTAGACGGTGAGGGTCCACGCATTCCCGGCCTGTGGACAAATAATCATAATTATGTAATTTCATTTCATGGAATGGCTGAAAACGATATAGTGACTGCAGAAAAGTAAGGTTGACTGGTGAATATTGCAATAGTAAAAACACCTTGGTGTGGAGCAAATATTTTATTCCGAGTAAGTAAAAATCGTTACAATACCATCATGGCTGTAGCTAGGGGAGGCATTAAGTGGCAACGCCCTACCTTAAAAGACCCAATGTCCTTAAAATGAAAGGCTCCAAGAAAATTTGACATTTGCTTTTTCGAGGTCACTTAATTATGGCTTTTGGCCTATCAAAAAGCTCTTTTAGCCTACCTTAAACTTAAGTCTAGCTACGGCCCTGAATGCGATGTAGTTAGAAAGAGTGTCAGTATTGTTGCCAAGGTACAAATCACATTAGGATGAGCAATATTTAACAGAAATGAATGTTAGTTTCTAATAGTGAACCTGACTGTGCTATCAGTAAGCTGATGAGGCTCGAATGAGAGAATGATAGGTGAGGATGAAAAGAGGTCAGTTTAGCCCATCAAGTTAAATTCTAAAAGAATTAATCACGATCATTTACAGGGAGAACCGATCTGATAGATACTTTATCTATATATTATTAGCAATGGAGTTTTTAGTTTTTTTTTTTTTTATAAGTAATCATGTATAGTGGAATATCTGGATTTGTTCTTTTAATAAAGTTTACAATTGTAGTTTAAAAACTAGGTACTAATTACCTACAGACACCACTTATATATAAAAATCTATTGCTGATCGTTAATCTCGTTAAAACTCAAAAACCGATTCAATTATTATTTTGTTTTGTTCGTTTTGAAGTCAGAAAGATCTTAAGACTTAGTTGAAAAATAGAAAAATTTAAATATGTATAATTTGTATGGGAATCACTTCTTTGAATTACTTTATTATATAATAGATTGAAATTGTAGGTGAAACAAAGTTTATTGGGGTCACTTAGTAATATGAAGATCAAATCTAAGGATTTCTATTTCTAGTCTGATTTGTGCAAGAAAAACAGACAACACATTGAAACAAAAATTAGTTACTTTGTCATTAATGATAATTACCTCCTGTCATCAAATGTGTCTCGGCTGAAATCTTCGTACATACTGTAATAAAAAAAAGCAACCTGTTAGTATTTCAAATTAAATGCCAACTACATATTGTACTGATATTTTCGTTATAATTATTTATAACTTTAAAATGATATTTATTGGGTTTTCCTACCCATAAAAATAACTATGTTTGTCTATATATATTTATATAAAAATCTAATATCAGTGTTTGTAGCCAAGACTAAACCCATTTTCATGAAATTTTTTATGTATATTTGGAAGGTACGAGATTAGGTCATAATGTATATTTTATTCCGCTAGATGATTAGGATGTCTCTATTCAGATAATTTTTTTGATGGCTGAACAACATATGCCAGATTAGCTAGTATACATATAACTGTAACAATGACAAGTTCTCACCCGCGGGACATTTGAGGTCCTCGCGGGGGACTCCTGCGGCTGAACATAGCATCATACGACGACCTCATGGCTCCCATGCTGTTCCTCATGGGGGGCAGGCTGGGCATCGGCGGCATGGGCTCGCGGCGCAGCGGCGGTGACACGAAGTCTCCTCGAGCACCTCGCGATGCCCCCATGTCTAGTCCCCGGGAAGCACCCACTGGGTATCTTCGCTCGAACATGTCCCTCGGGGAGTCAAAACGTGGCCGGTCATAGTACCCATCATATGGATCCTGTTACATACAAATCAAAATTAGTCTTTATACAATAAAAAGATTTTCTCAGTTTAAATATTCATTAATTCACTGAAATTTATTTTTGAATTTAAATAAAAACAATATCATTATAAGAATGTAGTACTTAAATAATTTTGAAGATTCTGAAGAACATGTGAAAAATATATGGTGGGATAGTTATTAATTAAACTGTAGCATCACTGAGCTCGTAGTGTGAGCAGCCCGAGTTAGGTACCGTGTGCGGAGAAAGGATCCACGCGCTCGGCCTACGTGATGCACTGCCAGAGGTTTTGTCGAACCGACGATTCGAATAAATAATAACAGTAGAGAAACGCGTTACCCCAAATCCTCCCATCATGCGATCGCGGAGGAACGGCGGCGGCGGCGGCGGGGGGTATGGGTCGCGGCCAAACGCGCGATCACGGAAACCGTTGCGGTCAGGGCCCACCGCCTTGGGGCACTCCTTGGACCAGTGACCGCCGCGACCGCAGCGGTAGCACTGCTCGGGGTCGCCCATTCCCGGCCGTTGCCGGACGCGGCTCGTCGACAGCTGCACCTTCATGGGCTGGCCGTCCACCATCATACCGTTCAGCTCTTTGATAGCTTCGTTCACGTCGCCCGACGCGTCCAAGTGCACGAATCCATAGTTACGAACGATATCGCACTCGACGACCGTGCCGAACTTCTGAAACAGCTCGCGGACCTCCGGCGCGCGCGTCTTGTCCGTAAGGTTACCGACGAATATTTTTGTGGTCGGCGTCGACGGCGCCTTCCGGCTCTTGGCCGCCTCTATTTTTATCGGTTGGCCATGAACTACCTCTCCGTTTAAGTTCTGAATAGCTTCGCGACCGACTTGCTCATTTTCCATGTGCACGAAACCGTAATTTCTGACGATATCGCATTCTACGACGGTACCGTATTTTTCGAACAGCGGTCTAAGATCAGCGTCGGTTGTTTTATCGGAAAGACCGCCGACGAAGATTTTGAATGTACCGGCGCCCGGCATTTTAGATTCTGAAACGCATACACAATTTGACGAAATGAGTCAGAAGCGTCCATGGCAAAGCTAGGTATATCGCAGTATCGTCATTTTGGAGGAAGTTAGTTATCAACTAAAATAATACTTACCTTCAGAAGCCAGTACGGAAGAACGCTAAAAACTTGTTGTTGAAAATACCACTATTAAACTATTTATTACACAATTTTTATGACTGTAAAATGAAATGAAGTAAAAGAAGTTACATAAAATGGCGTCTCAAACTCACAGTTTCACACGTCACGAATAAAGCTAACGTAAAAATAAAATGGCTGAGTCTGTGTTGCCAACTCCATAGAAAATTTCGAGGCTGAACTGTATTAAGAACAAAAGAGAATGCTTACCGAAATTTAACTTAAAACTGTAATTGATCTTGTAACGTTGATTTTTGATGTATATATTTTTATAAACTTGTCTTTGTAGTTATCTTTGGAGATATAATTACATAAATATATGTATATAGATGTAGCCGCGCTCGAGGGAGCGAGATCTAAGGGATGACAAGATGTAAGACGGTAATAATTAAATTAATAAAAATAATTTAAAATTCGACTTATTTTTTGTTGTCCTCAAAGGAGGAGCTGTGTATTCATTACCATTTTTGTTTGAAACATTTCAGCTACATAATTGTACCTACTTATCAGCAATCACCATGAAGAGCCATCTTTTTATAAAAAAGTTTTTTTTAATTTCAAATCGTTACTGACTGATTTATAAAAATAATAAATGATGAAAAAAAATTGAAAATGAAATATGATTAGGATTTGAGGATAGCTTATAACGTAGCAATTACTTGCTCTGTGAGATACCCCACAAGCAATATGTGAATAAAATAATTTATTTTATCATCATCCACATCTTTATTATCTTTTTATACTTATTTGGAGTTAAGGATATGCATTCCTCTTTCATTTTCTTGTCTGCATTCGCAATTATTTCTGCATTTACTGGAAATAATTCTAATCATTTGGTCTTTTGGGTAGTCTAACCTATTATTTCAATAGTTTTCAGCCTTTATATTTATTAATATATTTTTTAACATTGTCCTTATCTCTGTGCGTCGATAAATTTTTATATAACCTTCATCAACAATATTATTAATAATTGTAATTTATTGCCAAAAAAGCATTAGCTAGATAAATCCTAAGACATTTAAATTGGTAACATTGTCCGGTATTATTTTTACAATCGAAGTTAATCTATGGTAACTATTTCTGACCACAGACATTATATGTTGGATACTAAGAACAAGGAAAATCTTTGGTTGGACAAGTCTAATATCTAAAGTATTTCTGCTATAGAAGCGGTATATATAGGACAGGATTGACTGCATTATAGACCCTGTTCTATAACGAAACAAACGTACTAAAAAAGAAATGCATCATAGACTTAGTATATCGTATTATGTAATCTAAGGGCTATACCGTAGAACCAAAGATTTCGGAATAGAATGAAAAACAGTGAATAGGAACAATCTGAAACTTCTTTTCAATTTTTTTTTAAGTTAATCTATTTGTATTGTAATATTAGATGTTTCAGTATAAAATTAAGGATCATGATCTTTAAAATATGGCTATATATTATTAACTAAATCACTCTATTTTTAGGAAATCTTCCAGAAATACATTTTCTTTATATTCCGAGGTTGAATTAAATAGAAATAGAGTGAGGCCAATCAAAAATTTGCTCTAATTGTGACTTTTGAAAAGTAAAGTATAGTAAAAGTGCGTTAGTAGTTGCTCTTAATTATTAAGTTTTAAATATATATAAACGAGCTTAGCGCACTGCGTTTTATCACAGAAATAATACAGTCATTATTATATACTATGTATAGTTTTATGTGTCAAGAAAAGTAACTGCATCAGAATCTTGTTAGCATAGTTAGTAAACTTTCTATTAGCTGTTTCCAATATGCTAAAATTTTATTTCTTATCATAGTTACGATATTCTTTCGATTATTAAGTTAACGTTATCTTTAGCAAGCCGTCGATAGAGGTCATTAGATTGATTACACAATATAAATAAATAACTGAGTTTCTGATTTCTAAGTAACCTACTATGTCAAATAAATTTCAAAATAGCACTGATCGACACTGACATTTGTATATCTTCTGAGTGGTGTGAATTGATAGGGTAGATTTTTCACTTACTACTTTCAGTTTTCCTCAAAATAATGAATTATTAATAAAAATATTTCATGTACTTATAAAATACCTTTAAAATTTTGTGGTTTGTGCTGTAATTGAACTATATTATTGTGCTGTGTCAACGAGCAATCTTCTACCGTCAGGTAAGTACGTATCCTAAATTACAAGATTCGATCACGAATTATCATGGACAAAATTATCAGAGCCCGGATGGTGCCATAATTAAAAAAAATCTGGATCGTTCGGCTTCTAATTTTAATTATAAATAATGTTAGGTTCAAAATAATACTTCACAGTGTCTTATAGTGGTTTGTCGTATAAATACCCATTTTTGTTTTGTAATTTATTTTTTATAATCTCTTGCCTATTCTACATTTTATTTTATTGTCAGCAATATAATAATATTTTTGGAATAAAGAGTATGCATCTATAGCAATTGACTCTGCTGTATGTTATCTAAGTAGGAAAACACCATAAAACATGTAATGTTATTGGAAATAACCTATTTGCTTTTAGATTATGATAAAGTAGATGTTCATACTGGAAGCAGTATTCACTGTTGTTAGGAAGAACTTGGGAGAGATTTTCTTATTATAAAGCAGATTTTACGAGTCATAACTTAATGGAATAGAGACTGAATAGTCTATTAAATATAATAAATTAATAGCTTTTGAGTTACGTTTAGCCAATAAACTCTTTTGTAACAGTCTACAATATTTGTAATCTGTGGTAAGTCTGTTGGCTTTTTTTTTATTTCTCTCACAACAAAGACATATATATATATATATATATATATATATATATATATATCATAATAAAAGATATAATAATTAATATCCATAATTAATGGGACTTTACCACAATTATTTATTCACATAATGACAACAACATGACAGAATATTACCTTACATAGAATTATATAAATATGTATATATATTATAAATAAATATTATACTACTAATTATTAGTATACATTATTATACATATTATCTTTGTGTTTTACAACAACAACAGCTCTGTAAAATGTTACTCTTTAACTCCACAGTTGTCATCTCTTAGTGTAATTGTATTTTTTTTTCTATTTATTTCGGTATGTTAAATGTTCTAATTTATAAACACTTGAACTGTTGTATAATTTTGTTATATTGAAATTTTTTTTTTTATAGAATTATAATAGTGGAAGAGTGTTTGTTACTTCTCGGCACCTTAAAGGCTGAGCCAATCTTCATGACATTTAAACTACACTTACTATTTGGGGTGGTAAAGGAGATATACTATGTTTTATCCTGGTCACTTTGTATATTTTGACTTTGTGTACAAAGTAGTGGTCAGTGTTAGTGATAATCTATATTAAAATTGTTGAATAGTACAAATGTGGTACTGTTTATGTCTATTGGCGACGGTTACTACTTTCCATAGGCTTGTTTGCCATTTGCATAAAAAAAATTGGTTTTTATAAACTGAAAATTCCATAAAGTACTATTAATCAGAATTATAAATACAATTACTGCTATTTTATTAGACTTAAGCATTTATAAATTTTTTGCCTTAATGATATGATGGAAAATAAAATAAAATCATGTTTATCATGCCTATAGCTTCACTTGTTTGTAAAACATTTCAAGGTATTTTAACTATGTGTATTAGGGAGATAAAGGATTGTTAGTAATGGAGTCTAACAGCCTCAGTTTTTCATGATGGGCTAACTGACTTGTTCTCATCTTCACCTACCATATCTCATTGGTAAACCACTGTGTAGGCCGAGTTACCATTCCATTCTCATGCATAAAATAACCCTGCGTATTAATGTAGTCTAAGGTATGGTCTGTTTGTGTATCAAATATAATTTGAATCCATTTTACTAATTATGCTAAATTTGTCATTTATAATTTTAGTTAGAGTTTTTGCAAAAATAAAACTTTCACATTTATTATATTAATAATATTATTATTCCTTATTATTAATTATTTAATGAATTCTGTATAGGTGTCTCTGTCACACTTATATATAATATTAAGACAACAAGAAGCTTGCTTGTATGTTGTGTTTCACTGTAGAGTGGGATAGCAGCGAAATTACTTGATACTTAAGATCTTCATGTTTAAAGGTTGGCAGTATCGAAATTTGTATATATATCCAGTATGTATCTACTGCAGACACGTGTTTATGCAAATAAATTTATCTTTATTCTTATTTATTTCTATTTCTACTACTTAATTATTACTGTTGCTTGAAATAAATAATATTTTATTTTGTGTAATATTGAAATGATTCTTTTTTTGCAAAAAAAATAATATATTCTTATGTCTTTAATGGTCATTCAAAATTTTTCTAGTTAATACCCTTTATATATTTTATATATTACAGAAACTGTAATAAAAATTAGGTCAAAAACAGTAAAAAGACGAAAGCTCTTCACTGATCAACATTTTTATATTCAACTTAATTTTTTTCTTGTGTAATGATTATTTTTTTTATTAAAAAAGGTTTATTTTCAGGATGGTTCCGTTTTCCAAAATAGTATATTAATATGAAGTGTCATTACTTTTATGAAGCATTATAATTATGAAATTTAAAATACAAAATGTTGTATGATAATATCATAAGAGAAAACATTTGATGGCTTTATAGTAACAACAATCTTGACACCTGCATATAAAGGAAATGGCCATGATGAGTGTAGTCGAAAGTCAAGAATTGAATATTGCGCCAAATATATACGTAACTTATTCCAATTTTTTGCTAGACCACGATTAGGTTGTTCGCCGCAGTTGGCACCATTGTATCACGTCTTATCTTTTTAGTTACATACATCCAATTGTTGGTCATACATTGGCGTTTCACCTACATTCGCTTATTATATTGTACGAAGAGACGAAGCCATTGAGTGGGTGCTACTGAAAAGCTTTCGTGATAACGATGGGCTCGGTACGTCAGTGTGGGAAAGAGACGGACGATTGTTAGAGGAAGACCGCTACCGCTCGATACGCCCCGTATTGTAGGGGCGCCCTTCTCCCCGCGCCGCACTCAAGAGGGTTATGTAATTCAGTTCTCTATGGGAAATGGTTTGAATGTATCCCACCACTTTTCAGATTGACCTGCAATATTCGCTATACCAT